CAGACAAGAAACAAATGTTTGATCTTCACGATTGCATTTTTCGTAACTTAACCCATTTAAACAAATACACACGATTACAAATTGAGACACGCTTCTTTCCCCTACTTTCAGACTGGTCATGTGACTTTAATGACGATAAGTGTGAAATCATGGAGGAGGAAGGAGCCTGGACTAGGTTTCAGAAAGCTGGAGAAGGCAAGTACATGGGAAATAGAACATACAGTGTGAGTTAAAGAAAGTTTACACCTAGAAAATTGCTTATTATTTTGAAAATCATCTATGAACAGTAAATTATTATACATCTTATGAAAGAGATGAGGCACAAGTTTAATTCGTGGGTCGGTAGAATTGTGTGCACGCGGTACCTTTGAAGTTGGTGTTAAACCATTCAAAGGTACCTTGTGCACACAATCCTTACCGACGCACTCAAATCTGTGCATCATTTAGAGGTGTTGTGGTCGAGTGGATACGTCGCCGGACTGTCGATCACAAGGTTCGCGGTTCGAGTCCCGCCGCCGCACTAATGTCCTTTGGCAAGACATTGATCTACATTTGCCACACTCCACCCAGGTGAAGTAAATGGGTACCTGGTAGGAATTTATTCCTTGAAATGCTAGAGCGCCGTATGGCAGCCGTGCTAAAGCCAGGGTAATAATCGGGAGCGCCAGGAGGGTCAAATCTGACTGACATGAGCGCTATACAAGAACCCACTATTATTATTATTATTATTATTTGTATACTGTACACGGGGGGGGGGGGGGGGGCTCACGGGTCAACACAAACAAATGAAACATTCTCACGAATTAGGTGAAAAAAACAAAAAAGTGGTCTCACCCCCCCCCCCCCCCCGCTTATTCACCGGTGGCTGAGTCGCAACTAATATTTTCTCACGGATTGGACCACCCCCTCTTCCCGCCGGCTGGATCCGCCACTGTGAACACATACCATACAAAAATGATACCAAATGATTTGGGATGAAACACTCTTTCATGAGATGTATAATCTACTGTTTATAGATGATTTTTAAAATAATTAGCAATTTACTAGGTGTAAACTTGTTTTTGACTCTCACGGTATAATAGTAAAACCATTTTTACCGTACTTTCAATATTCCATTTTCAAGTTTAAGAAGTTTGTCACTAATCGGGATATTGTTTCTTTTTTTCTTTATAAAGAACGATACATCTACCATCTTGGTGATAGAAATTTTAAGAAATTAAAGAACTATCTGTGCGAGAATATGCCCGGGAGAATGGGACAAGAAACGGGAATGATTGCTGGATTATTTCATACTCCTTCCTCGATTTTTTTTAACCGTTAATGTGATTAGCCGAGAGGGACGTACAACACCTTTTCTTTGTAACAAAATTACACAATAAAATGTAAGATTCCATGGTCAATTCGTTCATAATGGAGAATGACATTGGCTCAGTCAAAATATTGAATAAATGAATGAACAAACTTTTCCTCTAAATTAATTGTACTATCATTGTTTTTTGTCTTTTTTAATCTAGGAATACTGCAAACTGGTGCATCAGGATTGGCCAATGTTGGTGATATGGCAATTTTTTCAATCCCCTTCGACTTCACTTCATCAGAAGGCAATCTATTGTTTGAATACTTAATAACAGTTGGCAACACACTCAGTGTCACCGTTTGCCAAGGTGACGTTATACCTGCCTTCACTCTCGTTGGAAACAATCAGCGGAACAGCACTCTGGTGCCGTATTCATGTGCTAATGTAGCCTATGTTCAGGTTTGTAGTGTAAAATTAACCTTTCACCTATTAGTACCAAAATTATACGAGTTTAATTCATTTTCAACTTTGCTCTTCAATTCAAGCATGTAATTCATTTTCATTGCCGCTGGCAATTCAAAATTAATGATTCTTGATAATCGTCGATGTTGTTCGATTCAACAATAGTAATTTATTTGCATCTTCGCTATCAATAGAAGATTACATTCGTCAGGTGCCAGCGAAAAGGCCGTCACTGCCAGTGACAATAGCTCTAGCTTACAGCCTTGCACACAACATAGCATTACATCTCTGTCCACCTAAATGTATATCAAGTTAATTACTGTTATAGTATTAATGTTATGATTATGATTAACCTTTATTGTCTCGCAGATACGATTTATCGCCACAAGGGGACAACAGGGCTTTTTGATTTATGTGTACAACATTCAGATATTTCAAATGTCTATTGCAGGTAAGTGAACTTAGTCTACGGAAGGACACCTAAATAGACGAAATATCGAAATGAAACTAAAAACATATGGGAAGGGAGTGTGGCTTGTAGCTAAGAAGAGTGAAAAGGTATGGGGAAAGGGGAGGACCGATTAAGGAATACAAGACAAATATGTGGGAGCACCGTGGAATATTGGTTGAGGCTCGATTAGGGTGGACAACATTCAGATATTGCAAATGCCTTTTGCAGGTTAGTGATCTTATAAGTCTACAGAAGGATACCTATATAGATGAAATATTGAAATGAAATCTAAGAACATTAGGGGGTGTGGCTTGTAGCTAAGAAGAGTGAAAATGCATGGTAAAATGGGGGAGGAATCGGAGGACTACGGAATATAAGACAACTATGTGTAAGGACTGTGGAATATGTTTAAGCTTGTTTCTCGCTCGAAAGGTCATGGCTTTAATATTCACTCGACACGTTCATGATGTAAATATTGACAACATTGATTTACGAAAGAAAATACCGAAAATCTCTCGTGACAAGTACAGAGTTGAAAGTTACAAAAACAAAAACAATCTACACTGAATTTAGTAGTAATATAAACTTAAAACAAGTTTTTATTTCATTCTTCCCAATCAAAACTCCAGCTACCACGCCACCACCTCAAACTCTACCTACCCTTACCTCTAGAAACACCGACTCCACGAAAAGTCAATCGACCAATACTGCAGAAGGTAAATCTTATCGACAAGCACAATTATCAGAAAAAAATCATCTCTTCTTAAACTATTGTCAAAATCGTGATGTACTTTACCTTGAACACAAGTAGGCCTTCTTATTTATATTCATACACACGACAGTGGTCCTTTTATATCAGATTACTTGTATCTAATTTATATTTATTATACATTGAGCCTGTACTCCCTGCTGTATCTTTGCATGTACTATATTAGAAGAACACTATATCAAGTTCATATTAATGCGCATAAATAAGTACACGTTTGCGACATTAGGACGTCCCATTTAGTCCACGTTTTACCAAAGATAATTGTATTCATCTTTGTGCAAATAAGTTGTGACAAGTACATAAATGAAGGTTACAAAATCCAAAACAATCTCCCCTGAATCTAGTAGTATCATCAATTAAACAAAATATTTCATTTCATTCTTCCCAATCAAAACTCCAGCTACCACGCCACCACCTCAAACTCTACCTACTCTCACCTCTAGAAACACCGACTCCACGGCAATTCAATCGACCAATACTGCAGAAGGTAAATCTTATCGACAAGCACAATTATCAGAAACAATCATCTCTTCTAAACACTTGTCAAAATCGTGATGTACTTTACCTAACACAAGTAGGCCTTCCTTTCTATAGTCATGTTCCCGACAGTAGATCATTTATATCATATTACTTGTATCTAGTTTATATTTGTTATACATTGAGCTAGTAACTTAAACTTCGTGCTGTATCTTTGCATGTACTATATTAGAGGAACAATAAAAGTACACGTTTACAACATAAGAACGTCCCATTTCGTCCACGTTTTATCAAAAATAATTGTATTCATCTCTGTGCACATGAGTATGATTCATGTCATCTTCTGCCAGGTCAACACTATGTTCCCGGCGGCCACGGCAGACCCGTTGGCCCGAAACGTATAGTGCGCCGTGGAACGTTGGCAATTTTGTCTCTGTATTCAAGTTTTGTTAGGTCTTATCAAGTTCTTTCATTACGTACTGTCACGTTTTGTGGCGTTCACCCCGTTTACTACTCGGTTACTCATCCGCGCCATGACTGCCTTAGCAAATTTGTTGACAATTCAACAAACTGGCCCGGCATCCACGGCAATCATGGCCTGTAATTTTTGCCCATTCCGCCCGCCCCCCCCCCCCCCCTCCACGCGTTGTCCCACGTTCATCCCACTTTGTCCACCGTGGCCGCCGGGAACATAACGTAAACATATTGTAAACTTAGCATTAGACCATAGGTCAGGTTAAACTGAATTACTAGAATACGAAACCCAAAGCATCAACGATTCACCGACAGTGACTGTATGTTTGAACAAAAATGTTGGTATTTTATCTTTCAATGTGTCTACACAGTCTCTTTGACACCGAATCAGACTGATGTTTTCACTGCGTCCTCTAAAATTGATACGAGTACTACGGGAAGTCCGACGACTGTTGCAGTCAGAGATAAACGTAACGTAATTTCTGTTATTCAGACGCTTTAATAACTTCTTTGTCATAGCCATTAGCACCGAAAGGTGGACCTGTGCGCTATACAAGTAGCCACTATTATTATTATTATTAGTAGTAGTAGTAGTAGTAGTAGAAGTAGTAGTATTTATTATTATTATTATTATTATTATTATTATACTATTAGTATTAATATTATTATTATTATTATTATTATTATTATTATTATTATTATTATTATTATTATTATTATTATTATTATTATTATTATTATTATTATTATTATTATTATTATTATCATTATAGCCATCATTTTATAACATATATTCATTCGATTGATAAATATAAATAGACCCGCAGCATTATACATGTATTAGTAATCGGATTAATGCTCCTGAGAGACCTACAATTTTATGACACAAAGCAGGAGATAATGAACCTCTGTACCCAAGCATGCGGGTCTTTGTCGAGCACAAGTTGATTCTGCTTTAAATATAAATACATCCAACATCTGTTTTTATTTTCTATATTCCATTATCTTAAGTTGGAGATGAAGACAAGACAGTTGAATTAATCGGAGCACTATCTCTTCCTTTCTCTTTTATATCTCTTAACCATTTTCAGCTTCCACACCTTCCCCTATGAGACGAGGTATGTCATGGCTTATTCCTGTGGTAGCTTCTGTTGTTGTCTTGCTACTCATCATCATAGCTGCTGTGGTAGTGCTGTATTGCCACAGGCGAAGGTAAAAATATCAACATTAAAACTCTTGAAAAACAAGCTGTCGAGTAAAATGAAATACTTCTTCTATCGAAAATGTGTAGGTTCTGATAGTCTTATTCAGACTAACGTGTGTTGTATGTATAATTTCTCAGACCTTAATGTAGATTGAATCAATAACACATTTTTGGTTTTTGTTTGGGGGGAGGGGGGCTCAACTTTCATCACAAAAGTGTTACATTTAAGATAGGGCAAGGTATATAATTTAAAAAATACAAATACGCGAAGGTAATCTTGTTTTGATAGGTAAGCAACCCAGGACTACACAATGAGAAAGAAAAACAGTAGTACAGCGGCAGTAAACAATAGTAGCCTAAACAATAGATCTTCATGGGTAAAGAAATTCAGCAGGACAAATGCAAAAATACTGCACTCTTAAAATGGATTCATGGTTTAAGGTTTAAAGTTACACCGCATTTGAGGGCTCCTTCTCCTCTCTATAAATATGTAAACTGAAGATGATGATAATGATGATAAAATGATGTTGAGGATAAACTAAGATGGTGATGGTGAAGACGATGATGATGATGATGATGATGATTATGATGATGATGGTGATGATGATGATTATTATTGATGATAATAGTGATGATGATGCTTCAAAATCATAATCACACAAACATTCATTGGGTTCTATTTTTAATTCTTAAAGCAAACAACCCGGAAAACAAGGTCCTACAGATGGAGGAACTATCAACGAACCTAATGCAGACATTGATCACTATGCAGAGTATCAAGGGAACCGGCGTCCTTGGAAATATGAGTCCGTAGGTAGTGGGCGAGCCAAAAGCAGCATTGCACAATCGAACAACGATAAAGACAAACATCCAGAGGCCTACGAGTCAGTTGATGATGCTTCCAAAGTCAAGAATGATGACCGTGTTGGAAACCCAGTTTACAACGGCATTAATTCGACGTCTAAACGAGATGAAGATGGTCGATGTCCACCCCTGATGATCAACCCAATCTACAACGGAATGGACATCGGGAAACCAGACTCGGCACCATTTGGTGACCTGGTTGAAAATCCTCTGTACGGAGATCAAAGGGAAAATCCTCAAGGGGAGAGGGTAAATGTGAACCTTGGTAATGGGCGTGTGGAAGATGGTGGACCTCAACATCTAGCCAAGGGAAGTGTCCTGTACGCACTGGCTAACAAGTGAACGAGCGTGAACACAATCGCAACAATTATAAGAATTTCACTTCAAGTTCTGTTAATAACCTATCGTATAACCTGGATAACACAAGAATATATTATTATGTCATAATCATTTTGGAATGGTCACTTTAGCGTACCCTTGTTTTAAATGACCTTTATATTAATATTTCTGTTTTATCTTCTGCTTTGTATATACATGAGTACTACTGAGTAATGATTTTACTAGGTATCTATAATATTACCGAGATTCTTTGTAAAATGTACGTTTTGATCCATAAATATATTCGTTGAAGTTACCTTTAAGATATGGGGCAACCCATAATGTTTACCCCATTTCTACAAGCATGCTCAATTCATACAAATATTTGAACTTGATGTTGATATTTAGGACATTTATCTATTCATTTGATATCTATATAAACATTTCATTTTAATTTGTTGAACGGAGAAAACAACCAATTATATTTATTTTTGTAAACCGTGTTGATTAGGGGGTATGCTGTTTAGCCTGATGAATTACATATCGGCTAATAAAATAAGCCTTAATGGTAGGATAAATAAACATGACATACCAAAAATAAAAGTTAAACAAAATTAAATGTATACAAAACAGATAAAATTAGGTGTCTACAATGATTTGGCCAACAATTGAGACCTCGGGTTGTGATCTATCTCTTTTATCAATATTTTATTACCCACCTTCTTTTCCATATTGTAAATGAAGTATGACACACCGAAAAACGACGTTGTTCTAACATTGCTACATATCACATGTAACACACACACAAATGGGTACATGGGACTACACACACATGTAAAATGAAACTGTGGGCCAATCCTTTTCACCTATTCCACGTTATATTTTTAATACGAGGGCGTTTGGAAGCGATATTTCTGCTATGATCAGTTGATGTTCTTCTAAACTAACATTAAGAAAAATTAAAGCTCACAAGTCATTATTCATCTAGAAGCCACTCTTTTCTTGCATAAACTAAGTGCATAAAACTTTGAATGATTCATGATATCCGATAAATACGTCATTATGCAGTGTATCAATATTGTTAGTTTAGAGAAATATCAAACATATGTTTCCTTATTTGTGAACTTTCACGCAATATGACTCCGATTGTTTCGACCGCATTGAAGCGACCAGCCGTGTCTCATGGTACGTTGACAAAGTGTGACCAAGCTTCAATTATTACTCAACAAGCGTCAAATTAACAAAAATGATTTGCTCTCAAAAACCACCAATACGAATAATATAAATAGACAGAACAAAATCTTTACGGTCAATACTATACATTTTCTTAACCCCCCCCCCCTAGATTTTTTTATGTGTATGTTTTATGTATTTTTTTGTGGAACCCCCCCCCCCCCTTTGAGGAAAAAAAGTGTCCTCTTACCCCCCCCCCCCCCGCTTATTCAGCGACCGGCTGAGTCGTTTTTTGGGGGGCCCGATTTTAACCCCCCCCCCCCTTGAAAAAAATCCTGCGCACGTCACCGCATCCAGCACAAAATAAAATGTAAACTCTGCAAATGATTTTGGTTGTATAAAACGAACTAACAAACAAATTATCCTTCGCTCGACTGATATTTCGGGATGACTTTTTGTAAAGTACTTCAGAAATCATCAGAACTACTAGTATAATTTGGTTTAATAATAGGCCATGACTTTTCATTTACTAATACACTTTGATAATTTAGCTTTAACACCAAACGTTTCAATAAATATTTCTGTGTGCATTTTATGTAACACCATATTGTCAACATATTTTTCTTATGTTGTGTTGAGTCTGTTTGCACCGTTACTTTTTAATTAAAAGTAATATGTGCATTATCACGATAGTGTGATTCGGTCTTGCTTTCCTTACGTGTTAATGTTACCACAATGATCACCTGATGCAATATTCGTATACTTCCTGGTAGGCTGATCAAGATTGTCATCAGTAAAGCTGACATAGTCACACGTGATTTCCATCTTAGTTAGTAGGAACACAAAAAACGAATATAATGAACAAAACAGATATCTAGAAATTCCTCGAAAATAATACACTGTTGGTCATAATGGTGGAATATTTATTTTCCCCCCAGTTTAAGGAAGGATTTAAAAAAAAAAATATTTCTAATAGATCTAGATAATGGCATACATTCTCAGATTTTATTGAATATTGATTTGTGAGTGTTTGTTTTGCGTGACTGCTTAATCATATGTGTGCTACTATGCTAATCAGATAAGGGACCTACGTCCTTAAATCATAATTGACAGTAATGAGGATTAATGCCTCACAAAAGGGCACTAATATATAGCTGATCGACACGATTTTTATCCTGGGGCCTCACAGTAACGAGGCCATTGCTTAGCCCCTGAATCATGACTGTACGCAGTGTTTGCTAGGGTACGCGGCCCCTTCCACAAATCCCCCCAAAACGAAGAAAATGCAATAAATTGTCAAAAATTCATTGCATTTTCCCCCGGCCCCAAACAGGAAAAATTCCTCTGTAGGGCCATGCATTATGGTTCAAGGCATGGCGATGTGGTCGTTTCATGAAGCTGGGCTAGTGTTAAATTGCTCTTTTAAATCCGATGTAAGGTGTTCATATTAACACCGCCTTAAGTGTTAAAGTTATATAATCACTGGTGTCAGTACATTTTAATGGACATAGGTATTAAATATTTAAAACCAGAGATGAAATCGTAAAAACACCCAAGGTTGTGGTCCTCTTTTGAAGCAGGGCTGGTGTTAAATTAAAAACCTTACTTTCCGCAGTGTATACCTTAGATTAACCTGATAAGTAAATTTATATAATCATGAGCATGTTTATGGAATCCCTTAACTGTTGTTACACCATTTTCTGGTTCGGGAATCATGATAGGCATTTGATTAGGAGTAAATAAATTCGTGTAATGTTTCAAGTAAGTTAAACAAAACCTTCTTTGAGTATTTAAAAGGTTAAGTTTTACATGTTTTTAATCTTAAATTAGAGTTAGATATTAATTTATTACTCACAATTAATTCGCAAATCGAAATCGATTTGATTATGACGATTGCATTTTGGTATATTTATAAAATGATTGTTTAAAAAAAAAGCTTGGGTATGATAATAGAGATTTGAAAATTATATATATTTATTTAATAGAGAAATGACTTACATATTACAAATAAATGAAAATTTGAGAGTACAAAACATGAAATTTCCTGCAAATTGGCTTAGTTATAATTGAACAAACATTGTGTGTATTCTTGATTTCCCATTGTTTTGTTTAAGTATTTATGAAATGATGTTATTGTTTGAATATTGAATAAACAACGTTTAGAGGCAAAGAGAAAACAATTGATAGGCATGATAGGTGCGTGACAAACACTTTCTGGTTGCCTTATTAAAAATCCATAGTGACGTCATAGAATGCATACACTTTCAGAATACACTGATGCATACATCGACGGGGAAACCAAAACAAAGATATAATTAGCCAATACTAGGGTAGAAAAAGGAAGTAAAGGGAAAACATTGTAAAACTGACTTCCTTTCGTAGCTTATATCGTGTTAGAGTTGAATATCAACAATTTTCTGTTGTTATCAGCAAGTGCTTCAGGAATGGATATTTGCAAATGGGTCACTCTCTTCGTGGCGATAATCATTGGAGTTTCTTCAGCCACAGAACCGGGTAAACTATTCTAATTGACATTATTGTTTCATTTCATATCATGCCATACTTCACCGTTTTTTATAACAGAGGACTTGGAGAAAAGAAGTAGACTGTGTGAAAGACCTGATTGCTTTCCAACATTTTAGGAATGGACGCAAACAATACCTTTATCGTGTTGTAAAGTGTTGATCACTTTCATCAAAATTATGTTAAACATTTGGGGGTATTCCCAAATTGATTTTTCATTAGTTTATACAATGATTATTAAATAACGACAGGTTATTCTAACAACATAAAAAACTTAGGCTTGAAAGCAATTATGATTAATGTGCAAACATTATGTATGAACCACAAACACAGCGAGAAAAAAAAAGAAGACATTATAATCACTTGATAATGGTGATTATACATGTTTGTATAATATATTATATTCATGAATAAGAATCCACAACGCTTATACATGTGGTAGACAAGAAAGAAAAGTTTGATCGTCACGAGCGCCCTGGTTTGAATAACTTAACCCGTAAAACAAAGTACACTCTATTAACCCTAATAAGGCCGGGCTATTTGAAGTCTTACTATGGCCGGGGGGGGGGGGCATTATGCCCCCCCCCCCCAAGATCTCGGCCGATCTCCGCGAAAATTTGCACACATGTTAAGTGAAGTGTATAGAACAATATGATAATTTAAATTTTTTGAAAAAAATCCCTCATTTGCATATTTATGGTAATTTATGCAAATAACGTCATAAAATCACATTTTTACCCCTAAATCCTATATTATTCATATTTAAAGCATTCTTTTTCACTACATATATTCATTAGACCATTTGAAACAATAATACGACAAAAAAATTTGGAAGAGCCAGCTTATTTCTTATGTTATCTCTTGTTTTGATAATTTCTTATGTATTTCATTGTTTTTTTAACTTATTTATGTTATTGTGTTTTATTTTGACTCCCAAAACAACCACCTAAACTTTAAACAAGACCCAATAACCAATATTTGATCTATTTTTAGGAAAAATGACATTTCCATATGTTTTGTACACAAATCACAAAAATGAGCGATTTTCGGGCTGACATGCAAAGACAAAAGGTCACGTGACCTTGTAACTATAGGTCCGATTTTTTAATTTTTTTTTAAAAAGATGCGCAAGACTCTAAAGAAAAAAGTCTGTCTATTAGGCATTGGACTAACGTGTCCATCGCCTGTCTGGGTGTGGCCATTGGGGATCCTGTCGTACACAGGGTTGCTGACGAAATCGACTTTCCCCTCGAAGCTGTTGACATCAACTTCAAAGGCTTCATCAGGATGGGCAATGACCTTACCGGTGCTGTTCTGTGATGGCGTCTGACCAATTTGGGTCATCTTCGGTTTCGCTTTAGATTTCAGATAGGACTTTGAATCTTTCAGTTGCGTCTTAACTACTGTTTTTTTTTCTGCATCAACGAAACCCCTACTTTGCATGGCTGGGAATGCATCCTTCAGCTCTACAAATTCTTCTTCGGCGCTATCCATTTGCATCCTGTTCCAGATGAATTCTGAAGTGTCTGTACTGGCACCATCCGGGACATCACGGCTGCTAGTTTGGATGGTACAGATGCCCTTGACATGACTTTCACCATGTTCCTGACCGCTAGATTTGAACTCACTGTAAGCATCAAGTTTGATCGAGGCGTCTGGCCGTATCAACCTGAAAGAAATTTGTTATTTGTTGTACTATAAACCCATTATGTTTAATACAAATATGTGTTATGTCATTATTAGTAGAAAATAAATGAACGTTAAGAGTGGCAGTGAAAGAATAAGTAGCTGAGATGATACTATGCGTACAAAGTCGTAAAATTCATATTAATAAATGTAGTAATAGAATACAACAATTAAAATTAATGGTAATACATTTATTATCAATAATAGTAATATTACTAGCAGGAGTTATATCAATACTAATAGTAATAAAGATAGTAGTACAAAAAATGATAGTAATGCAGTAATAGTACAAGTCAAATTGAAAGTAATTGACAATGCTAATATTAATACTAATATTAATTGTAACGGTATAGTTATCAGTGATAACAAATATTGGACATACTTTGTGTGGTCACAAAGCAGAATAGCAATGATGATGAGCGTGCAAAGGAACAACGTTGCAGTCACAGCCAAGGCAATGTATATTATCATAGTAACTTGAGCCGGATCTGTTTGGGGTAAAACAAAACAAAAATATTTGCGAAACTTACTTTAAGACTGTAATACAATCATTTCCATTCTTTACAATGATTTCTCATAGACATTTTTGTTCGTTTTCGTGTCTTACATGGAAACTATAGATAACTTAGAATAGACTGTGGTGGATTTATGATTCCTTGGCCGTTTACACAATATTGGTGCCCATGCTCTTTCCTTTTTTGTATGTGCACCTAAAATGTGCGAAATAGAGCAAGGTGTTTTCCACCCTGCATCCGCCTATATTCTAAAAGCCTTTTCGCAAGATCTCTTCAAATTCAAATGTATGTGTCTTGTGTAAAACAGCACAGTCTGATAGAATAATTGTCTATATCAATACAACAAAAAATAATCTAGGCATATGTAACCAAACCCAAACAATTGTTTTATTCTATTATGCTTTTTTACCTTGCTTTTCATTTGATTCTCCCCTCAGGTAGTCGGGGGA